AGCAGGAAAAATAGTCTGTTTTCTTATTGGTTGCTTGGTTGTTTTTTTCTAAAGAAACTGAAAGGAACTATTACAAATAGGAAAGTAACCATGTATTTGGTTTACTATGTGTGATTCTTAATTTGCAGGGGCCACCAGGTGAAAAAGGAGAGAAGGGAGATCTTGGTTTTCCTGGCCTGCAGGTATTCCCTAAGTTATTGTTTAACCTGTCACTTACTAAGTCAGTTTGAATGTTGCATTGACATCATTGTGAATTTAGGCCACATAATCAAAACTGCTGAGAAGTGTATTGTTGGGGTGAATTTGTTGGAGGTTTAGAATCAGGAATCTAGGGTATGCTGGTGTGCAGTGACCAAATCATTTAGGGTCTGAAGAACTGGTTACTTTCTTGACCTTGTTTAACACTGAAATTGGGTCTCTGTAGACTCAAAACCTATCCACCCTTAGATTTCTGCTGACACAGTGAATAATTAGCATCTGCTTGTTTTTGCTTTAAACCCGTTAAGTTCCTCCTGGAGTTATCTAGGAGGACAGATCAGGCACTTAATCCTTTTGATGCCATCTTTCACAAGATAGGCATCTTAAAAAGCTGTAGTATTCACTTAATCTTACTCAGTTTGGTGTCTGGTATTTAGTCTGGAGATAGCATTCCAATTTATTGCTGCTTTCCAGGATCATTTGCTTTTCCCTTTTCAGGTGCTCCTCTTCTGCTGATTATATCCCTCTAGAATTTGTTGGTTGTTACCAGGTACCCCTCTCTTGTTCATATCTGTTAGGGATAGTAAACTCATACAGCCTTTCCTCATAAATCAGTTTTTTTAGTCTTCTGGGGTCTGAAGAACTGGTTACTTTCTTGACCTTGTTTAACACTGAAATTGGGTCTCTGTAGACTCAAAACCTATCCACCCTTAGATTTCTGCTGACACAGTGAATAATTAGCATCTGCTTGTTTTTACTTTAAACCCGTTAAGTTCCTCCTGGAGTCAGTCTTCTGGACCACGGCAGTAATGGTCCCAGACTGCTGCTCTGCAGCCTGCATGAGCCAGAGAGTGACATTTCATCTGAACAATGGGGAACTGCTGGACATAATTTGTAATCGTGCTCAGGCAGGATTTCCTCTTTGATATTGCTGCACTGACTTCAAACAATATGGTAACAGACTCCATTTTAGCAATGAGGGAGAGAAATAGCAGTTGTATTTTTAGGTTAAGGTACTGATGTCATGCAGTGGAGTTACACTGACACGACACTGGAATGATGTAGGAAATCAAGGTCTCTTTTCAGTTTAGTGGCACAGGAAGCCTGACTTGATGAAATTGTCAGTGTTCTTAATTATAGTGAGGGGGTATGAAGCCTGTGCATATTAACAATGTGTTTTTAACCATCTCTCATTTCACAGAAATGGCTTCTTTACTGAATCTCTTCTATGGCCCCACTCATTATTGAACTTCCTAGTTCAATTTATCCAAAACATTTATCCAAAATCATGTCATACAGTTTGACTGGGAAGTGATTTCGTTGGATTCTGTTAACTTGATCTCATCATTTGCTCTCCCTTTATAATGCTTAGGGTGTCCCAGGAGCATCAGGTTCACCTGGAAGAGATGGAGCTCAAGGTCAAAGGGTAAGGTAAAATGAACATGTTTTGCATTTAAGAGTTTCCATTGCATAATGGATATGTTTCCCAGTGTGATTGATCTATTATGCTTTATGTCACTTGCATTTTATCATTTCTGGAGACCCATATCTCTGTGCCAATCATCAGAGAAGACAGAGTAGGGTGGAGTATCCTACCATCTGGTAGATCAGGGTTGAGAAATACTAGACGAGCAATGGGGAGCCATGCACTATGTTGATGGGAGTAGATGTCACTAGTGTCCAGCACTGCCAATGAGACTATTTGCTTATACGTTTAAAATTAAATGGTGGTTAAATGGCACATAATTAGCATGCAATCCAATGCTTTCTAGCTAGTTAATGAATAACAGAGACAACTACAGGGATTTAATATGGAATGTAAAACAATACCTGTAGAAACTGCTGACGTAAGGAAAAGGTGAAGAATAATATCAAAATTTAGTCAACCTTACTCTGCTTATGGTAGAAAAAATGAAGATACTTACAGTCTGTCTGGAATTGGTAAAAAAACCTTCATGTTCATGTGTGGAATTAAACCTCTAAGTCTTCCTCCCTGTCTCCTTGGGGAGACTTTTGTTTCATTATTAGACAGACACTGGAAAGTTATTGTTAGCATAATACTAGGTTACTGTCTACAGCAGAAGTTCATTATTAAATATGACTTTTCAGTTTCACTTGAACAAGATTTACATATTCATGATCCTTTTTTGGATATGTTAATGTAACTTGAACTTTAGAGAAATCTGGACCTTCTCTGGATTTCTGGCATTAACTTGAGACCTTGTTATAAAAAAAAATCCTTATAGCAAAATGTGTATTTGAGCTCACTATTACGAATTTAAGCATTGGCATATCTTTATGTATAGAAGTAATTCCATTGAAGTTACTGTAGAATTTGGGCAATGCATAGATTTTTTTTCTCTAAAATCAAGAAAAGAAAGTAATTTTATTAAGATAAAAGATTTATAGAACATTATCATCAGATTAATAACCTTCTAATCAGATGAACAGCCTTCTAATTTTCAATTAAGTTGTGGTGAAATGTGAAGGCAAATGTAATCCTTTTCCTACTTTATAATACTGTGATGCCTTCTTCTGTATGGAAGCTCATTTTTGCATGTTTTTAATGTCTTTTTTTTGACTGTATTGGAATTTTTTCCCCCTAAATTCCCCAAGCTTGGTGTCACCTGTTCATCTCCAGGTTGATAAAGACCTGGAGCCTGATGGACATTTGGATTTTTGCCACCATGCTGTCTAATCTTGGTCATAGCCAGGCTGAGGTGTCTTGGTGCTAGATGCTGTACATGTGAGTGGTATGTGCCTCCTCTTTCCGCATTCCTGATCATGAGGGACACTGAGCATTCTGCAATTCAGGGAGAAGAGAAGTCTGTGTTTTTACTTTATTCTGTAGCTAACTTTATATTTAGCAGTGGAGGCCCTCAGCCATGTCTTGATGTCAGCCAGCAGTTCAGAAGTGCTCTAGTTTTCGCACGTGTGGAAGTCATCAGGTTGTTGCAGAGAGGTGGTTGTATTTCTGAGAAAAGCTGGCAGGAAGACTAGTGCAGCAAAGGCTTTTGAGACAGCCTGGAAAGGTCATGCAGTGCTTATTCTGTAGAAGACCACAGTGTTGTCTATAATAAGGTAGGGCAATTACATAAATTGCCAGTTTTTATAGATATGGTGATAATGCTTTGTTCATGTGTTCACTTTCTTCTGCTGGTAATCAAAGGAGCTGGATAAATAGCCTAGATCTCATAAAATTAGGTCTGTTAGCCTGTTATTGTCTCTGTGCGACCCTTATGCAATATTGTCCAGCAGTAATTATTTCTATGGCAACAAATAATTATATTATATTAATTTTATGGTGTTGTAACTCATTTGATTCCTGTGAAGTTATGACAACAATAAATTGCTTTTAATGGGTGAAGATTCAAACCAATGATTTCACCGCAGTCTCTTTGAAGGCCAAGCGCTTGAGAAAGGCATAATTCTAAAGGGCATAACTGCAGCAAAAGCAAAGGGGAACTGGAAAATTCCTGAGAAGTAAATTGCCTTTTTGTATAATGTTCCCTTTGTTGGGCTTCCTCCTGTTAGCCAAGACGCCAAACTGTTTTGCAGCTATTATACTACTAGAACTGAGATTTTCTATGTTATTCTTAGCTTAGCTATCATTTCCTCTTTAGTATTTATTGTTCGTTGAAATACTTTAATTATAGTGGTACAGTGCTGTAAAGTACATAAACAGATGGCTAAATCACACTGGTTTTAATGGGAGGTAAGGGTAAGCACGGGACTGATATTTATTGGGAGATCTCCGAGAGCTTTGCTGAACTGGGGATAATGTGATATTAGACTCAAGAAGTCCTGGAATGGAGATTTTTTCCTTCCAGTTGCTGGTAGTTGGAATCACTTCACTTTTACAGTTGTTCTTCCTTCCTTTTTGTTTTGATTTCTAGTGTTTATCATTTCTGTTTTTACTTTTGAAATTAGTTGAGGAAAGGTCTTTTTTTTCCTCTTAATGTTTTAATTCAACAGTTAGTCTATAAAGGTTCTTTTTGTATTTCTGAACTTCTGCTTGTTAGTCCCTGGTTTATTTGTTTTTCTTGGTTTTTTAGTACCTCATTAAGAATAGAGCATCTCCCCTGTCAGTTGTGTGAATTCATAGAAAGATCATTTTCATAATGAAATACCCTCCCTGTGAAAAAGAGTGGGATGTAATAAAAATACCATGTGAAGGTTGAATCAGAGTAAAAAATGTGTTCTCTGATAATAAAGCAAACTTTCTGATTATGCATGATAATATTTTATACCTGTCTGGTAACTCGTTTTAAATCTACATCTCAGATTCCACACAAGGAACAGTCCCCTCCTCTCTCATCTACTTCCAGTTATAAAAGAGTGTCACAGAACATTTTATAAAATAGAAAATGGTTTCTTTTTGTTTTATGGCTAGGGCTGTGGTTGTTTGGTGTCCTCTCTTGCTGCCCCATATTTGTGGCTGGCAATATAGAGAGGTTTTGCTAAAGAGAACAGATTGTGTGTTCTCCACCAACTCTCCCAAGCATATGATGTTGAAAGATATAGCTTGAATTGCACATGTGAGAGAATCCAAACTGACATCATGCTTCTGGTGAGTATGTAGACAGTAATTAGACTCTGTTGTGCTTTTGGTTCATCTCTTTCAGCCAAGAGTATAAAGTTTGGAAGCAGACTGAGACTGACCCTTGTTGAGATGTGTAGGTAGAGGGGGGAAAAGTCTTCCCTTTCCCATATGCCCATGGCTACTATCCAAGGTCAGGTCACAATTGCAATCCCTGTTCTTTCTTGTGAAGTGCAGGCCACCCAAGAGGACAGATCTACACAGCTGCAACAAGAGAAGCCTAATATGTCATCCTGAGTGGCAAGCATGCTCTGCTTGATGACACAATGAAGGAAAGGATCTCCATTGTTCTGACTCCCAAGTTTGTATCTCTTGTGCCCATGACATTGTTACTGCTCGCTGCTGCCTGGTGGTTTCCTCAGGGGTGTCTTCTCCTGGCCAAGCTTCCCTTTGGCAAAGACCTGGTTCTTCCTTAGCAGGTTAAAAAGTTCTGGAGGAAGCTCTGTTGGATGTGCTTCCCTATGTGTCTGCTAGGGGTGGGACCACAGAGTTAAACTATCAAGTGATTTATTTCTCTTGCTGAGCTAGTTTGGAGTCCAATGCTGCCTTATCCTGCTTGAAGACACTGGTCTGCAGTAAGATACCTCCACCTGATGGAGAGGATGATTCAGTCTCTTAAACATTTCTTCAGCTCCAAATGGCTCTTGTTCAGCTCACTCTGAGAGCAGGAGGCCAAAGAGACCAGCTGTGAGACACAAAGCCTTTGTCTATAGATTAGTGAATTAGATATTGCCAGAACATGATTTTGAGCATTGGCTAGTGACCTATGCAGTCTAATGCCTGTCGTTCCTCTTGGCAGTGTTGGGCTGGGCCAACTCTTCCAGGACATTGTTCAGGTGATAGCATAGATCAGAAGCCATTTCCAGTAGGGAGTTTAGATGCACACTGTTTTAGTGGGATTTATAGAATCATAAAATTAAGGTTGGAAGGGACCTTCAAAGATCATCTAGTCCAACAGTTTGCTCAAAACAGGTCTGATCGGATCAGATTGCCCAGGTCCATGTTAAGTTGAGTCTTGCACACTTCCAAGTATGAAGATTCCACAACCTTTCTAGGCAACCCATGACAGTATTAATTTAACCACCTTCATTGTAACTTTTTTTCCTAACATAGAATCATAATTTCCCCTGTTTCCACTTGGGTCTATTGCCTCTTGTCCTATCGCTGTGCACCTCTGAGAAGAGTCTGGTTACATCTCTTTTGCCTCTGGTCAGGTAGTTTAGACAGCAATAAGGTTGCCAAGCAGAGCAAACCAACTTCTTTCAAGCTTTCTTTATATGTCCTATGCTCCAGCCCCTGAACATCTTCATGGCCCTCCACGGGACCTGCTCCAGCATGTTAGCCTGTCTTGTACTGGAAACAGCACTCCAGAGGTAGCCTTAAAAGTGTTCAGTAGAGGGGAAGGAGCACTTCCCTGAACCTGCAGCTGAACCCGCTGGCTGTGCTTCTACAGCCGGAATGTGGTTGGCTGCCTTTGCTGCAGGGCCATGCTGATGACTCATGTTTGACCTGTTGTCCCCTTGGAACCCCCGGTTCTTTTCCACAAAGCCACAGAAATGCAATTATGTATGTTGGTATGAGCTGTGTCACATCTTTTTCTCTAAGGACTTGTTTAATTTATAAGCAAAGGCATAGTCAAAGGGACACAGATACATAAAGGAGTATTATCTTCCAGGTGTTAATCTTAATAGCACACTGCAAATACTGGAGGAGAAATATGACTGATTAACAAAAGATATTCAAGAAATATATGTTTTAAATTACAAAGAATTAATAGTAAAATAATTTAAGACTATCAGCTTGTAGATGGCACTGGTAGTTTCATAAAGAAAAGAGGAAATGCTAAGTCAGCATTATTGTGTGTAAAAAAAGAACTAGCCTATTTTTATTAAATAAAGGCTGTGTGTTCTGAGCAACATTTCAAAAAAAACACCACTTCTGCTTTTTTTCTGGGTTAGCTTTAATTTAAAATAGCTCATGTTGGTGCAAAATCTTTTGCAAGCTACACCTCAGATTAATACACTGAGATAGTGTTTAGTAATAATTCTCTGATGGTCACAGTGGTTTATCTTAAGAGGAGGAACATTTGGTTTTGAATTTTTCATCAGAAAAAGGGACAAAAAAAAAAAAAAAGATGAGGCAGTCATGGGTCCCAGGCTGCAGTGTTCTTTTAATGGCTGTATTTGAAAGTCTTTCAAGCCTGGGCTCAGTAGCTTCCATTAAGGTTTTGCCAGTATCTAGTCCTACTTGAAAAATAACCCCTCCACAAGTACCCGAAACAAATTCCAGGCTACTGAAAGCTAAAGAGTTTATAGTGAGGTCAGCAGCAGTACTGACTTCAGCAGACTTGAGATTTTACAGGGATTTAGGTGGTGTCTACATTCTGTGATGCCATTTGTATTCTGGCAAATAAAATCCCTTATAAAAAATTCTGTTGTAGCTACACTGTTTCTCTATAACTGTTTTTCATGCCATTAGCAAAATTTGTCCTGCTCTTGGACATGCAGGTCCATGGAGGAGATTCAGTGGCTCTGTGCAGAGTCATTCCTATTGTGGATGTGACTGCATCAGAGGGAAAGTGCTGTTGCGCTATGTAATTTCCCCAGTCATTCTGGAGATGGTTAAGCAAAGAGGAGACTTCAATAAACGGGAGAGTAAATAACATCTTTAAGGCTTCAGTGCTCAGAATACAACTTTATGAATTCTCACAGTGCTCTATTTTCCTTCTACATTACACAGACCAAAAATAATGGGAGAAAGAGCCAGAAGAAATACATTCCCAGTCTTCCAGCCAATTTCCTGGTACCTACTAATCTCCTCTGCTTACTACTCACAAGTTCAGAATAAGTATCAGATCCATTCTGGCCATCAGAAGGTCTGAGTAACATCATCTTCAAACCCTGTTGACAGCACAAACAAATATCTTTGGTCTTTTACCTGCATGAGAGAATAGGTATTGCCATACTCTTTCTTGAACTAAACTTCTCTTTGACTTCATTTATAAATAACAATTTTCACGTCTAACAAATACAGTAGGAGGCGATTTTTTGTGGCCAACTGATACAAACACAGTGCCAAGAGAAATGAATCCTAGGAGAATACACAGGAGATGATTTTTGAGCAGCCAGGAGTAAGAATACTGTGCAGAAGAAAGAAATTGTGAAATATATTCAAAGAAAATGTAATTCTGACCATACTGTTAGTTCTACTCTTTGACTGGGATGGGAGAAGGGAGGAACATACAGCATTATTTTTCTTCAGAAGTTTATGTGAATCCACACTAGACCCTAGAAGTAGGTGGAAAGCTCTACAGTTCCCTCCTCCTAGTTAAATTAAGCCCTTAAGAGGGTGCAACCAGTTTTCATCCTGTTTTAGGACTGATCAAAAATAAATGCAGATTTTAAATCTTTGCTTTAAAAAGTGAAGCATATTTGTAAATATGAAGGTATCAGTCTTTCTGAAGGTTTTACTGTTACAAAACCAAGTCTAGTTTGCATTATCTTTTAGGGACTTCCATGTTATTATAAAACTGTGAATAGCTATCATTGAATTTTTCAAAACATTGTTCACAACTAAATGCTTCTTCCAGAGAATGTCAGAAACCCTATTTTATAATTTTTAATGCATTTCGAAGTTCCTTATACCATTCTCTGTTTCCTCTAGAAATGCCAATTTTGAAGACTGAACACACTTTTCCTTTGCAAATTTATTTAATTGAGCTAGGTTTGCAATCTTTTCTCTGCATATGATTTAAAACTACTGTGATAGAGACACTGCTAGTATCTTTATTTCAATGCCTCTTAGCTGTCACATTTGCTTTAGTTCTTACTGTGATAGGGGAGCTGCTTTTGTCCTTAAAGCTTCAGGAACCATCTGGCTACACTGTGAAATAGGGAAGTATTTCCTTATCAAGTCTAAGGATGCATTTCCTTATCAAGTCTAAGGATGTATAGATGGCATGATATGAGTTGACTATGTGGCTTATTTTATCATGGAAACACCCTTCTAGTGGAATTTTAAAAAATCCTTTCCAGGTACATGGCAGATAATATTCCTTAGCCAGTTTTTTTATGCCATATGATAGCAGGTTTGAATCATAGTTTCCAAATTGTGTAAAGCATAAAACTAGTAGTTCATGCTATATTCATTACTAAAACTGTGTCAGACATGAAGTTTCAGAAAAAAAGTACAAAACGAAAAAGCTGTGAATTTTTTTTCTGAACCTCTATGAGATACTGAGGCCTAGAATGTTCTTTTGTGTGTGTGTCAGCATAAACACTTTCAAACCCTCTCTTTCATTCTGCTCTCACCTCCGTATTCTGGTCTTGAGCCAGAGATAAGATCATATGTCTCTTTTTTAGGCTGTGTAGTAATTAAAGAATTGACTTATCACCAGGCTGTTCAGAAACCTATGCTTTATAGCAAGTGGATACAAAATGTGCATATTGGTTAATTTGCAATAATACTTTATTAATAGTGTATTTTCTTCTACATCTGGTCAGTCTTTTTTCTATGATTTGCTTGCTTTCCAGTTCCCAAGTTATCTTTAGTTTTTGGCTCTCATTTCTGGAAGCTCTGAAGCACGTTCATAATGTTGCTGCTTCCTGAATCAGGACCTCGGTGATAGCTAGGACATATGTACAGTATTGCTGGGCAGAGAGGTAGACTCTCAATTGCCATTTTTCAGCACTTAATCAGTGAGACTGTGAATAGTTGCAACCAGTGAGAACAGATGTAGAAGTGTGACCCATCTTGCGGTAGAGAAGTCTGACAGCAAACACTCTCATTTACCTCACTACAGCAGCGTTATAAGTGAAATTCACTCAGAGGTGAAAATTGCCAGTACAAAGAGTTTTGCATTGCTTCTTCTTACTTCAAAAGTATTGTAACACTAGTTGGATTTTTTTTTTTTAAATATCGGTGACGCTATAGCTCCTTTTCAGAAATAAACCCTCCCCAGGGCAAATGAGGGAATTTTCTTCTAAGAAACCACTACCACCAGTTATTAATGTAAGAAAAAACAAAGAACAAAAAGAAAAAAAAGAAGTCTTCTAGATGAAATGGAACAGATTCATGAAGTACATATAAAAAGCTGATAAAATTGCATATATTTCTCTTTTATAGGGCCTTCCTGGCAAAGATGGACCCACAGGCCCACAAGGACCTCCTGGCCCAATGGTGAGTATGGCCCATGGAATTTGTTTCTGTAAAAGTCAGCAGGATTTTGGAGGATTGTAGGTCACTCTGTTATCTAGGCTTCAGTGGATAGACCAAGGCCAAGGGTTCTCCTTGGAAGTTAAAATTCTCATGACGCACAGAGTTGGCAGAGAGCTGCTTGTCCAGTGTCATTTCTTTCCACTCTTACTTAGCTCAAGAAAAAATGTCTCCCATGGGAAGGGGAGACAGTTGTTCCATCAATAGATTGATAGCTTGTTCTTAGTCAAGTAACTGCATTATATAAAGGAAATTAGTGCTCTTAACATTTGAAACAAGACTTTCTTTTTGTAAGAAATTCCAATTAGGATTGTTAGTTGAAGTGAACCGCCAAGTTTTGCTTGGTCTGGAGGCTGGAGGTGAGTGCAGATATTCAAATGCTCTCAGAGTAGGAAGACAACATTCGGCCTTCAAAGCAAGACGTATGTTGCCTGCAGAATCAGTCTCATCCTTCTCAGCTAGGGCAGCTAGGCAAAGTTAATGCCTTCTTGATAGATTTAAGACGTTAGATGAAACTGCTAACAGTATTGAGTATTGTCCAAGCAATCCTGTTCTTTTTACAAAAAATGTTCTGAGTCATCCCCCCTGAACATGGTAGTAATGTCACAGGATTTAGTCTTGTGGTTCAGCAATCTATGCCTGTTTCAGAAAGCAAGCAACACAAGTCCATTTTTCTCAAGTGCTTTTCTCAGAGCCGTGCTTTCGGAGCTCTTTTTCCTGCAACATGTACTTCTTAGTCCTCTCTCCCAGCATCTCTAGTCTTTGATTTGCAGAACTGTCTGTGTACTGTCTGCTTTGTGAACTTCCTCTCTATCACACAGTTATTTCTCCCATCAGAATTCATGGATGTTGATTATCATCACCACTGAGTATTTTCTTTCTCTTTTTCCACATAGGGCATACCTGGTGCTCCAGGTGTTCCAGGTGTTACTGGAAGCCAGGGGCCACAAGGTGATGTTGGAGCTCCAGTGAGTAAAATTAATTAATATTGCTATATTTGCTGTTGTGGATTAATTGGTTTCTGATCCTGGCTTCACTGTTTTACAGAACTCCTCAAAATGTATAGCTTATGATTTGTTTGCAGTTAGTGGCTAAGCAAAACATTATATTGGTCTTTCTTTGTTCATTCTTCATAAATAAATTTATTTGTTGATCTTACATACAATGTTAGGAATATAGGGGTTAGAGAGTCAAAACACAAGATTAAAACACAGAAGTTAAAAGCATAACAGTATGTGAATCTGTAATCTGTGTGTAATTACTTTCTCCCTTTTTTCCTTTGCACTTCAAGCAACTCTCAGGAAATTAAAGTATGCCATTTATTAACCTGAATAGTTCCAAATATTGTTCTGTTTTTCAAACTGTGAAAATATTGCATGAATGAAAAACTGGCTTTCATGGTTACTCTGGGTTTACATCAGGGCAACTCAGTAATGATCAGGGCTTTTTCTAGAATGTTATTATAAATTTGACCATCAGTTTCATTGAGTGGAAAATTACACCCTCTGTACTGAAAATAAGTATTAGGAACCTCTAATACTAAGTTTGTCTTTCAGATATTATTTTCTTTATTATTAAAAAAACCCCAGTTTAACTAGAAGAAAGGAATACAACTATAAAATGAGTGTGTAAATTATGAAGAAGAGAAGATTTACAGTGGACTTCTTTTTCTCTGTAACAGTTCAGATAATATTGTGTGTTCACATTTTAACATTTGACCACTTGGTTAATTATAAAGCCTGCTCAATTTTTTTCCAGTGAATGTTCTACTTAATTTTTAAAGGCATCAGAATGTGACAGTGTGTAATTCTGACTTGATTTGTAGAATAATTTTTTTTTTTCAAAATCTGGTTTGCTTTGGAGATTTAGTCCAATGCAAGCATTTTTACTTGGTTAAGTGGAAATGAAATGACTGATAATATATAAGCAAAGATAATAACCTAATGCCCTGCATAGTTTCTAAGTGTAATAATGAAATTTACTAAGGAGATTTGATGAGCTATGGAACTTATTACTATCAATGTATAACATGCTGACTATTCAGTTCCTGTCCAAACACATGTTCCAGATATTGAACTAGATTTCCTAGAGTGTAGATATTCTTGTGAGTCATGTAAGACCTCTGCTGTGAATGTTTAGACTCTAGTAGTTCTGAAAAAACAGCTAGATGGGTAAAAAATTATTGAGTTTCAGTAACTGTCTTTCCCAAAAGGTAGAGTAATAGAAAAGAGACCTAGAAATAATCTTCCAGTCTTTGTAGGAGTTTCTTTTTTCCCAGGACAGAATAAGTTGTGCTTTAACCATGCATCAGTCAGCTGGTTATCTTTTCATCAGACCTTTCCTCGCTTCAGGGGTTCCTGAGAGATGTCTAGCCTACCCCAAAAACTTCCATTGGTGAAGTTGTTACTGCCCTAGACAACTTGTTCCAATTCATAATGATCCTTACCATCATTACAGTATTACATTATCTTTAATGTCATACTTCATCTTCTGTGCAGTTTAATCCTATTGCTGACTCTGTTCATAGCGGATGCAGAGCCTTGGTGCAGCAAATGCTACGAACTTCAGACCGATATTTTGTCTCTCATCAGCCTTCTCTTTATACTCAGTGATGATTAGACCCATTTCAGCCACGTGAAATGCATCATCTCGTGGCCTGCCCTTGCTGACATTTTAAACAAGAGAATTCAGTGTGTGACAAAGCCCCGAAAAAGTAATTGTAGCCATGTAATTGCCAAAGGTGAACATTTTGTTGAGTACTGAAATGGAAAACGTGTATTTGTTATTGTCACATAGCCTCCTGAAACCATGTTCCTTGTTTGTTTTTTCTCCTTTTACTGTGATGCTGCAAGGGAGACAATGTTTAGGTGTTAAATATTTTGAGCAAGAACAAAGTGAGAATTCATTTTGTATTGAATCTTTTCATAGGGTCCTCCTGGAGCTAAGGGTGAAAGGGGTGAGCGGGTAAGTCTATGCTCACGTTAGCCACCATTTTTTTTCCTGTCTGGCCTTCTGTCTCATAAAAAGCTTTCTCCGACAATTTATGTTTCTCTGTGTTTACAGGCACAATAGTTTTCTCTGTGCAATCAGGCAAACTTTCCTTCTTTTCCAGACATAGTCTTACATACAGCTACAGTAATGTTTTGAAGGTGAAAAGTATGTGGCATTAAGCATGTCCCCAAATCTCTCATTAGGGTTATCTTCTCCGATCTCTGTTTGCTGGCTAAAAACAGTAATGGGAACCAGGGAAATCCCAAAACTTTTTTGGCTTTTTTTCTCATCTGTGGGGATATAATCCCTCAGGGATAATAAATGTCTTTCATTGCTCTAAGTGTTTTCAAGACAGAAATGATGCAAAAAATTGTGTTGTGACACTGCTGCTGTTGTTATCCAGGGTGATCTCCAGTCCCAAGCAATGGTGCGTGCTGTTGCTCGGCAAGTGTGTGAACAACTCATCCAGGGTAAGTACGTTGATAGTTCATATGCTTCTATCTCTAGAATGGATCTTTTCCTGCCACAATTACTTACAAATATGATGCTTTTCAGAGTATCCAAGGGAATCTGTTCCTTTTAGGCTAGACAGTTAGGATTTACGTTCTGACTAGATTTATGTTCAAATGGATTTATGTTCAATTAAGGCTGATTAGCATCAAGCATCTAAAAAAAAAGCCTGAATTGTCTCCAATCTATTATAGTATACAGAAGCTTCTGCTGTAACAATTTTAAATTCTTATAGACATAAAATACAACAAAAACCCAAACATCAAAGCAAGGAAATAAAATTCTACACAATAGTTCTTCCCCTTTCTGTGTACTCCCTAAACCATTGTTTCTCCACCAATAAGCATACAACTTCATATTAAAGCACCACAGACCACAGCCTTGAGGACCTGCCAGGGCTCTGTTCAAACTTAGCTGAACCAGATTCTCCACTGCAACTTGAAAATGAGGGCATTTTTTCCTGACAGGTCATATGGCAAGATATAACTCAATTCTGAACCAGATTCCAAGCCAGTCTGTCTCAACACGAACCATCGCAGGACCTCCTGGTGAGCCAGGTCGGCCAGGGGCTCCAGGGCCACAGGGTGAACAAGGATCACCAGGCATGCAAGGGTTTCCAGGAAGTCCTGGTCAACCAGGAAGACCAGGAGAAAGAGGTAGGCTTCGTACTTCGTACACAAAAAATATACCTCCCTTTCCTGATACATTCTGATGGCTTTTGTCTCCTATCTAACTGTGAGAACAACAGTTTTCTCACTCGTTGATTGGTGAACTCAACACAGACCATAATGAAAGCTCTGGAGACTCTCAGTCATGAAGGTAATGCAGGCTTTGCCAGGTGTGATTTGGCAGGATCAAACAGAGGTTAAATGCCTAAAATGCTGAAGATTGGTGGCATCTAATTGGGCACATCACATCACATCATGCTTTCGTCTTAGTAGGACTCTGAAGTAAGCTGGAGCTGAAAATGTATAAGCAAAGAAGCTTTTGGAAAAGGCAGCTGCAAAACTGATAGATTCATGTTGGGGAAAGATTGAGCTTTTCTGCTAAACTTGAAATGTGTCAGTCTCGAGATTTCTAAGTTTTGATAGTCTGAAAGAAGCAAGGTTGATAAGAAAAGGGGAAAAAAATCCTAGTTTATGACGGGATGACAGGATCAGGGAGAGGAAATGGTGAGGTCAGAGAGAAGTAATACAATTAACTGTTCATTTACAGTAATTCTCCTCTGTATTCTTATGTGTATGCTAGATCCCTTTCTCCTTTTCTCCTCCAGCATTGTCTAATAAAGAAAAAAGCTCCATGTTTAGATTTACTCTCTCTCTGTGCAACCCTGGAAATTTTGGTGTACCAGAATAGCACTAACAGAGATAGTACTGAGTGGATCTATGATTGTGAAAGTGCTTTGAAAACCATCCCACGAGGAAGTGACCAAAAATCCAAGACAAATGTGATATTCAAGAGCGATGAATTGGTGTTGCTGTTACAAAATCTATAATGGGATTTGAAAAATGCGTTGCTATGAAGGCTGTTCAGTTCAGGAGCTTAATAGTTCCAGTTCACAGTAGCCATGTTGATCAGAGTTAAAGCATTGTTTTGAAAAGAAAGTCTTTGAGTGAACCTGTGAGTCTGTGGGTCCTTTCTTCCCTTTCTTCTAATTCTAATTACCTTCTTGAAAAAAGAGGCAGGGTTTAGGGTACTAGCCTCTCAGTCATGCTGCTGCCGGCTCCAGCTGAGTGAAGACCAGACACTGTCCAGAAAAAAGGAGGAATGAGGGGGTGGGAGGAAAGAAAATTGGAAGAGACAGCAAGTGAGGAACTGACTTTAAAAGTGGTGACCCAGAGAGATTGAATGCAGATTTCAGGGTAGTTGCTTAAAATACTAGTGTATTTTAAATGGCTTCTCAGGTCAGAACTGTTTAAGTACACAGAATATTTTGCTGGTGCTTCAGGAATGGAGGAACCAAAATACCAGGCTACAAAAAGGGAAACCTGTTTGGCATTTAGCATGTATTTTCTGTTGTCTTTGTTGTGCTGAGGCCCAGACCCGCATGTTGTACTACTATGAAATCACAGAGTGATTAGATATAGTCATCTAAATGAAACATGATGTGGGTTAACCCACTGCTGATAATATTAATATCTGGAAAACAGCATTGGTAATAGAATGAGTACAGAAAGGGTAAAAGCACATTAAAAAAGAATATTATTATTCTTCTGTCTCTACAGATAACTGATGTTAGAAGGGACTGATTTTGGCAGGTAGTGCTTGTGGGGAGTTTCATACTTGGTACAGAGCAAGCACTTATCAAGCATATTTCAAGAACTATAATCAGTCAGCCAAGGCTCTCCACAGATTTTCATAAAATGTGATGCCAAATGTTGGGGGTGTTTTACAGTATTTATAGCTTAAAACGAGATTGTTTTAAGAAAAAAGAATATATGTGTAAACTTAAAGACAAAATAACTGGCTTTATTTGAGTGAAAGTGGTTTTTAGGACATTCATGTAACTGGAGCCTTGCACGGCTGGAACCTGGACGGAAGAGGAAGGGGCTCATTCAGAACCTAGGAAAAAATATAGACTAACTTATTAGTCCTTGAGCATTTAATTTCTTCAGAAGCAACTGAAATTTTACATTGATAGTATGCCTGGTGTAGTAGCAATTTACTTAACAGAAAGATATCTTTTGAGTTGGACAGACCCTTGGGATATTTCAGAATCCATTTCTAAGGAATTGCTCTTAAGCTAACCCCAAAATGCAGCAGTGAAAAGTAAAAATTATTTTTTCCAGCTTCATGTTTGTGGAGATCGATTGGAAGTTTCTTGTGCATTCCCAATTCTCACTTGATTCCTAACTACATATCATACAGTGAAGTTGCAGACTAAAATTCCTCTGCTTCTGGGTGGAAAGGTTTTTAGTTTCCAGTGAATACTGGAGGGTAAACGTACTCAGGCCCCATCCCTTGCTGTGTTCTGAAGCATTGTTTGTATTTAACTTGTTCAGCAAGTCACAATGTATAGTTCTGTCCTGAAGATCTCCAGCCAGCCATTTGGAAGTCTTTATGAACAATGTGTTTCTTTTCGCTGATGTCATCAGCATTTTGGTTGTATATGAAGTCAATTTAATGTTCAAAACCAGTGCCAGATTAGCAACTCTGAAAAGTCAGCCTCCACCTTTAAGTACAGAAAATACACTGCAACAGTGACAGCAGTGTCCACAGAGCATACTAAAAAGTAAGAAACATGAGAAGGGAAAAAAGACTGGTTTGTTTATTTAGTAGAGTGTTGCTTTTTTTCCCTCTGAGTTCAAACCGTTGGGATTGCTGCAAGAACCTGTTACTGGCTCTGAGCTGCGTGGCAAGGTGCTGGTAGAGTGGGAAGAGAAAAGGTGGGGGGAGGCTAGACATTTCCTCCTACTCACCTCTCTTGCACACCACCCATTCAATCCCAGCCTGTGAGAAGGGGGAACTTCTGAAAGCAGCGTGTGGAACTGGTTAGAAATCATGCACCAAAGAGAGATTTACTGGAAAATGTCAGCAGTGAGAGATCTTGACATCAGTGAACTTCCCTGCTAACTTGCCTGGCCAATAACTTCTTTTCCCTTGTTTACCTTGTCACTCTGCCAAGTGTTAATCAGATGTTTTGGAAGGAGGCTTGGATTGAGAGAGTGTCTTGGAGTTTTGTTAGAAACCTCCACTTGAACTTCTAGGTCCAGGGTGTCCCATTCCTGGATGTATGCTCTCACTAGTAACACACTGAGCTGGTCCTTCCAAGAAAGACCACCTCAGTGAGAAAGGATAAGTCATTCTCTTGACAGATTCAGTCCTCAGCGTCTGTTGCCAGCTGAGATCTATTTTTTCTAGTGTAGACATAAGTGAAAGGATTAGGATCACATTAAGACATTTGTTACTTAGTTTCCCCAGTTGATTATTGGTTTAGCCGTACACTGTGGGGTCTTATCTGTTGTGTTTTTCTAATGATGTGAAAAGAAACATCTCTGGCAATCTCAATGTTTGTTAGCAATATTAACATTTTATTGGTGCCCCAACAGGCCATTTGAATTGGACCGGTGATTTAAAGATTAAGGAGGGTACATTGTGTTATCAGTCCCCTATAGTACATAATCCCAGATAAATTACTAGAATTTTTTTCTCTTACATACTTGCATAAATATATGAGTTTGGAAAAAAACAAACCCAAACACTAATTATTCACAGCACTCATCTCTATTTTCATTTTAAGTAGTGCACAGCACTGGTTTCTATTTTTATTTCAGCTAGTTTGAACATCTTTTGTTTTGATTTTATGTTTATGAACTGGGACTTAAATAACTAGTGTCTAGCTTCTGAGTGCTCAGGAAGTAGTTGGACTTCTGCAAAATAATATAAAAAAGCAAGATATAGCGTGTTTTTTTCTTTTTTTTTTCAGTTATTTTTATAATACGTGGGTAGTTTTCTCAACTTTGAGGAAAATGTAAAAGCTGTAGTAAAAATTATGCTGAGGTACTGCTAGCTTTCAGATGCTGTGAAAATGCAGTTGTTGTTCTACTGCTGGGTGGACTTCTGCTCTTATGATGTGTCCTGAGGTGATGCACAAAACTTATGGCTACTCACTCCATCCCACTATGATTAAAATATAATAAATACCTAAGCTGTCACTGGGAAAGTCACTATTCTCAAGTACAGCTTCATCCATATTTGCTTTCTGGCTTCATATGAAAGACTTAGTTAAACATGTGTTATCAAAAGCCACATGTTTACAGCTCTGATGGCAAAATTCCAATGCAATTAAATGGAACTTTTGCCAGTTGAGTCAATTAAATGTTTTTATTTCCAATTTTAGCTTCATCTGGATAAAAAAAATCGCCCTGTGTTATTATACCTTATGGTTACAACTGAACATCTTTGAAAGAGGACATTTTTGGTAGCAGTTTAATTTTTCTTAATTGCAATATGCAGTTCTCCTCAAAGGACAGTATTCTCTTAAAGACAAAAATAGATAAGCAATCCTAAGACTTCCTTTTGTGCAGAAACCATGGACATTTAATTTTCTTTGCTAGAGAATGCATTCATGATCTTGGTTTTGTTTTTAATAACTGATGCTATCAGAGGTATCTTTAGCAGAGCACTGGAAATAATTGATTTCAGTTGCTTGTGATCTCCATGGGGCTGAACCCAAACCATTGCTTATTTTAGATGGGGACAAGACGTAAAAAAGTGGTTAGTGTGAAGGGGGAGAGGTAGTTTGATGGTATTGCTGAAGTATGTCCAGAGCACAAATATGAAAACAGTTACTAGAATTTAAAGCCATTCTAATTCAAATGACAAATTTTGATACACACTTTTATCCCTGAGAGTGATTAACCATTACAGTAACTTACATGGAGAGTGATGTCTTGTCTGGTTGACTTTCTGTAAGCTATGCTCTAATGAAATGCAAATATGATCTTGATAGAAAGCTGAATGGGTGAACTTTGAATGTTCTGTCATTTATAGGAGGGAGCCATTAACTATGACCAAGAGGTCTGTGAATCTGCTAACGTACTGTCATTAAAGAGCTTTGGTGGAAAGTCAATTAGGGAAGCCCATGGAGTGCTTGATTTTAACTCATGTGAGTTTTGCCTTAGGAGTAGGGTATTCTTACTTCAGTGTTTATGTT